GCCTAGCACATGTGAGGCCCTGGGTTCAATCCTCAATACCACATAAAAATAACCAAATAATGAACTAAGGTTGTGGCTTAGTGGTAAAGCACTCGCCTAGCATATGCAAGGCTCTGTATTCTATCCTCAGCAACATATAAAAATAAAAACAAATAAAAATAAAGGTACTGTGTCCAACTACAACTAAAAAAATAAAAAATAAATAAAAAACAAGGGGCTGGGGTTGTGGCTCAGTAGTAGAGCCTAGCACATAGGAGGCCCTGGTTTCAGTCCTCAGCACCACATAAAAATAAATACAATGAAGGTTAAAAAAATAATAAAAAATAAATAAAGGTTTGTTGTCCATCTACAACTACAAAAAAAAAAAATTAAAAAGACAAAAAGGCCGAGTACAATGGCACATGCCTGTAATCCAGCAACTGGGGAAACTGAGGCAGGAGGATGGTGAGTTCAAAGTCAGCCTCAGCAACAGTGAGGTGCTAACCAACTCAGTGAGACACTGTCTCTAAATAAAACACAAATAGAACTGGGGATGTGGCTCAGTGGCCCAATGCCCCCAAGTTCAATCCCTGATACCTGCTCTCACAAATAATTTTAGCTGGTTTCAGTGGTGTAAACCTGTAATCCCAGTGATTTGGCAGACTAATGCAGGAGAATTCCAAGTTCAAGGCCAGCCTCCAAATGAGACCCTGGCTCAAAATAAAAATGGGTTCCAGTGGTAGAGTACCCCTAGGTTAAATCCCCAGTACTACAAAATAATTTTAAAAGCATGCTAAATCAGATTTGCATTTATGAAAAATCATTCTGCTTCCACAGTGAAGACAATGGAGGGGGCAAAAGATAGAGAACAGAGGATAGTAAACAAATTGTAAAGATATTGTAGGAGGACAAAACCCCAAGTCTTGTTAATTTTGGAATGGATATAAGGGAGAGAAGTGGTGTGAATGACACATAACACTGTTTATTAATATAAAGAACACTGAAAATGTATCAGATGCAGAGACAAGATTACAAGTTTAATTGGGATACGTGCATTTTATTTTTATTTATTTTTACGTGGTGCCAGGTATTAAACCTAGTGCCTCACACATGCTAGGCAATCGCTTTACCACAACCCCAGTCCGGGGATACACAAATTTTAAAATGAGTGCTATATATGGGTTTTGAGCTCAGGGGAAAGTTATGGGTTAGCAACAAATTTGTGACAATATAAATGAACAGGAGTTGAAGGATATGCTACAGAATACAGTGATGAGTGGCCTGAGGACCAAGTCTTGAGAAATTGTAACCAAGTATAGCATAGGAGATCTATTGAACAGAAATGTATATTTTGGAATCAGGAGGGTTTAAGTTTATGTGTAAATGTATGAAAAATATGGGGAAAGTGAGGAAAGCATAGAAATTTTATTGCTTTGACAATGAAAATCCTTCAAGGACAGTGATCAACAGGATCAAATGCTAGCAAGAGGTCAAGATGAAAGCTTAAAACAAGACATAGCAACATGGACATCATTAGTAACATTGAGGGTTGCTTCCAGTAAAGTGGGGAAAGCAATGAGGGTAGAATGTTTTAAAAGGGAAAAACTACTGAATGAGAAACATGGACACTATAGCCAGGTGACTTCAATTTTTGTGACAAATTCATATGTTGAGGGCTGGAGTTGCAATGGAAAAAATTTAAAAAGTCATTGTGGAAAGTGGACCTGCAATCTCATTTATAAGTATGCAGATTTTCTATAGTTAGAGAAAGCATTCAGAAGGGTTCATCAAGGGCTGGGGGCTATCATATAGCTAGGTTTTTTTTTTTTTTTTTTTTTTTTTTTTAAGACAACTTCTTGTAAGGGATTCCAATTCTTCAGTCAATCTTGGGGTCTTGCTTCCACTTTAAACCTGTGCTTTCTACTTCCTCAGCCTGATTCCAAATGTCATGCTAAAGCCTTCCCGATAAGTGGTCCTCAACTCTTTTTTTTTTTTAGAGAGAAGAGAGAGAATTTTTTTAATATTTATTTTTCAGTTTTCAGTGGACCCAACATCTTTATTTTTTATGTGGTACTAAGGATCAAACCCAGCGCCCCGCGCACGCCAGGCAAGCATGTTACTGTTTGAGCCACATCCCCAGCCCTGGTCCTCAACAAGAGGCCCTGGTTCTCTGACAGACAGAAACATGATTGCCTGTTAAATCTCTGTTCATATATACATTTACCCATATGTTTGCATAACCTTCCAATGCCATCTGGTGATTGTGTGAAGAAAAGTCAAGCTTTTTAAATTGAGTATTTATTGAGGAACTGCATAATGATGTGGGAAATTCAAAGGAAATTACCAAAGCTTAGAGGCTCATCAACAAAACAACAACAAACCCCAGTGCTGGATTTCTATTCCGGACTAAAAGGTGCAGGGGTCACTCCAGGTGAACTGGGCTAACTGGGCCGCGCAAAATAACCACACAAGAGATACAAATACCTTTTCCTTTGGGGTGGCTTTGATGGCTCCTCTGACCTTAAGGGTCCACAGGAAGAGAGAGAGAGCACACATGCGCTGACCCCTTTTATTGAGAAGCTATTCAAATGAGGCAAGGGGTCAGGTTTCAGGGGGCTGAGTCTATCTTCATAATGTCCACTGTCAGCAGGTTGACTGACATCTGGGTAGGCCACACCCAGGGGCACAGCAAGAGAAGGGGACACATACAATGAAGTTCCAGGTTATATTACAAAGAAACAAGTGAGCATAGCTCCACCCATGGGGTTGTAGGAAGCCACGCCCAGGCACGAAGACAAGGTCACTTGAACCCTAGAAGAGTGGAGCAGTCTAGCAGCATGGGTGCCTGATGCCCGTCACCACATAGCCCAGTGGGGGAGTTAACTCAAGTCACTTGCGAGGTTGGTGTCCCACACCCCAGAAAAACAAAGACAACAGGAATTCATTCACCAAATGCTTATTTCATTTTTTTTTTTAAAGAGAGAGTGAGAGAGAATTTTTAATATTTATTTATTTTTTAGTTCTCGGCGGACACAACATCTTTGTTGGTATGTGGTGCTGAGGATCGAACCCGGGCAGCACGCATGCTAGGCGAGCGCGCTACTGCATTAGCCACATCCCCAGCCCCAAATGCTTATTTCATGAAGAACATTCTACAAGGTTGGGAAGACAATGATGAAAAAGACAAAATTGCAAGCCCTAGAGGACCTTGGTCTGATGAAGTATACTGAAGGAGCCTGGCAGTGAGCAGAGTTACTATTAGATCAAGTTCTATTCACATTTGGGTTATTTGGGACTGGAAGTAGTATGTACCAGGAATGGTAAAGAATGAGACCTTCAAAGCAATAACTGCTGTTGAGAATGAACAGTATAAATGACAACTTTGGTACAGCTAAATGATGAAACTTTTAATGCCAAGAGAACATCTGTATTTGAGCCGAGAAGAAAATATACATACATGAAGGACAAAATCCATTAAAACACACAAATTAGGTAAATATAGGAAGTCATGAGAAATACATGTTTGTACACACATATATATGTTGTTTTTGGTGATGGACTCAGTGAAGGTCCTGGTGCATGCTAATAAGCATGTACTTTATCTATGAGCTACCACCTTAGCCCTAAATACCCCCACACTCTCCCTGCCACTTTGGGGATCAAATCCAAGGTCTCATGCATTCTAAAGCAAGGACTTTACCATTAAGCTACACCCCAAGCCCAATAATATTTTTCTTAAAATTTGAAAGAATTAAACTAGATAAAGTAAAAAAAGATTACATAATGGTATCCATACCCTTTAAAGTCAATCATTTCTACATTTAGCAGTCAATATTTGTTTGTGTTTTGGTACTGGGGATTTAACTTAGGGGCATTCAACCAACCTCTGAGCCACATCCCCAGCCCTATTTTGTATTTTATTTAGAGACAGGGTCTCACTGAGTTGCTAAGTGCCTCACCATTGCTGAGGCTGGGTTTTAACTCTAAATCCTCCTGTCTCAGCCTCCCAAGTCACTGAGATTACAGGTGTGCACCACTGCACCCTGCTAGCAGTCAATATTTGAGACTAATATTATGTCCCATTCATTTGCTTGTAAATGGGAAACAAAGTATGATGTGTTTTAAAATTAGTTGCAGATGGACACAATACCTTTATTTATGTGGTGCTGAGGATTGAACCCAGTGCTCTACATGTATGAGGCAAGTGCTCTACCACTGAGCCACAACCCCAGTCCATAATGTGTGCTTAACATGTACAAGGTTTGACCCATAGCACAGGGGACGGGGAGGACAGGCCTATGGTCACAGAGACAAAGCCAGAGCTTATGCAATATTGTGTTCAGCAGAATACCAACCTCAGAATCTCCTATTGGGATAGATCTGAATGCCCTGGGACTGTCTTTTTTTTGGTACCAGTAATTGAACCCAGAGGCACTTAACCACTAAGCCACATGCCCAGACCTTTTACATTAAAAAAAAAAATTCAGATAGGGTCTCCCAAAGTTGCTTAAGGCCTTGCCAAGTTGCTGAACCTGGCTTTGAACTTGGAATCCTCTGCCTTAGTTTCCCAAGCCACTGGGGTTACAGGTGCATACCACGTGACCAGCACCTCCATACCTTTTTGAGAAAGGGTCTTGTCAAACTGTTAAAGCTGGGCAAGAACTGCAATCTTTTTGCTTTGGCCTCCAGAGTTGCTGGTATTACAAGTGTACACAACACCCAGCAATGCTTTGCCCTCTGAGTGTTTGATTATAACTTGTCTCAGTAATGATTTCTTAATATTTAATCTATTTGGAGTTCATCTCCCTCTCCAAATTTGGGAACTTTCTATAACAAAAATCTGCAACTTTGTTTTGCATCTTCCAAAGCACCCATAGTGCATATATTCATTTGTCTCAGGCTTTTACTTCCCCTAGGTAGGAATTTCAAATGACTGAGATGGGGTCTTATTAATGCCCTGGCTGGCCTTAAGGGACCCTCTTGTCTAAGCCTCCCAAGATATCACCATTCCAGGATTCATCTTTTTTTTTTTTTAAAGTGTGCTAAAGGTCTTTATTTTTATGCTACTGGGGACTGAATATAGGGCCTTCTGCTTGCTAACATACTCTACCAGCTTCATCCTGTCATTTTCAAGAGAAGTCCTTTGTAGGCTAGCCACACACAATCCTCTTGCTTTAGTCTCCCAAGTGCTAGGGAGTACAGGTGTGGTAGAAATAGTCACTGTGTTCTTCAGGTCCAGAATTTGGAGCATCTCAAGCTTATTTTGGATTGCTAGGCAACTTGTAAATCTCCATTACTCTGGAGTAGGGGATACTTCCTTTGGTAGGCTCATGTTTCCCTGGATGTTAATGACCCCTATGGCTATTGTTTTGGTGTTGTGCATTTTTAATAAATATTTTTTAAACACTTTTACATGCAGCAGGGAACACTCTCACGCCTCAAAGGAGCTTTACTGAAGGACAAGGAAGGCCAAATAAATAGGGGTTCCTTTGAATCAGGCCTTAGGCTACAGAATTGACAAATACATAACCCAGCAAGTTGGCTTATATATACTCCTAAATAGTAGTTAGTAGAAACATGTTGCTGAGTTGAAATTTTAAGTATCACAATTAATTTGTTAATTCAGTGAAATTGTGTATATTGACAAGTCCATTAACTAGAGCTGCTCATAAAGCCCTAATTAAGCAATAAGATTCACAGGAGTCATTTTCACTCTTTTCAAGTTCTTAATTAATTGCTCTTAGCTGGTTGTTTTCCTTTGTGTGAATTCCTAGGTACTTAGCCACCTTTTTGCATCCCTTTGAGGTTTACAGAGTTACCCCTCTGGGCTTTGTTTTCCCCATTGAAATCTGAGACAGGATCCAAAATTTCAATGTAAAAAACCCCCAGAAAACCACTTTCATTAGTTTCTTTGAACTTAGCAAGAACACAAAATAATGATAGGTGTCTGTGATAACACTTATTATAGTCCCCTACTTACCTCTTAATATGGTATAGGTTTGGGACCTAAAACCTGGCCAGTACTTGTGTTTATTGCTAACTATAACAGTTAGCAGCTTGGATATTCACAGACAAATAACCCTGGCAATCTAATTCCACTGTCCATTGAAGCATGGGAAAAGAATAAAAAGAGAAAAGAAAGATTTAAAAAAACAACCCCCCCCCCTAAAAAAAACTATTCAAATGTTTTACTTCATCTTCTTAAGACAACAGGACATAAATTTGCTGGAAAAAAAGAGAAACAACTGTTATCAATTAGGAAATCTGTGCATGATTATGTCATTAAAACCTCTTGGGATATTATTACAGGTCCACAAACACCAAATTATCCCTTTTTAAGTGGTGACTTAGGAACCTCTTCTCTGTACATGGGTAGCCCTATCTGTGGTCAGGAATTGAGACTCCAGATTTAAAGGCCTAAGGACTAATAGCTCAGGGGCAGAGCACAGCCCTAGGTTCAATCTCCAGGACCCCCACCCCCACCATCAACAAAAACCACCCAAATCCTATGGAGCTACCAATGACATAAAATTTTTCTTTTTCTATTTCACTACCTAGGACAAAGTTCATGATCAAAGGCTCTGCTGGCAACTGAAGACTGCTATTTTCCTCCTTAAGATCTCCCCAAGACGTGCATTAAAAATGGAGAGAACCACTGTGATAAAAGTATGCCCAAACAATTCACAACAAAAGAAACAAGAACTAATTTACTTCAATTACCTCTGTCCTCTAAGAGATGAAAAAAGAGTGTATGGATATAGGAAAAAAAGTACTGTTAACATGGAATTTTAAGTGGGACACATTGGTAACGCTGAACCCGTCACTAATGAGCTATTTGACTCAAGGCCCAAATAATCTACAGAACAGGGTCACCAAACCATATCCCACAGGCCAATTCTAGCTTGCGGCCTACAGGGTTTTGTAGTCTGTGGTACTAGGAATTAAGCCCAGGGTACTTTATCACTTGAGCTATATCCTCAGCCCTTTTTATTTTTTTTGAGGCAGTCTCACTAAGTTGCCCAGACTGACCTTGAATTTGTAATCCTCTTGACTCAGTATCCTGAGTAGCTGAAACTGTGCATGTCTAGGCTACAACCTAATTTTTTAATTTTTTTAAGGGTGGGTCGGGGTGTTCCAGGGAGTGAACCCAGGGGCCATTGAGCGACATCCCCAGCCCTGTTAATAAGAATGGAAAAAAATGTGACACTCTATTCTTATGAAATTCCAAGTCCAGTGCTCATAAATAAAATTTGCTGAAACATAGCCATGTTTGTTTGTTGCTTTCACACTACAATTGCAAAGTAGTTACAAAGACCACATGGCTGCACAAGCCTAAAATATTTATGATCTGGCCCATTTCATGATGTTTGCAGATCTCTGCTCTAAGAGTATAGAATAAACTTTTTGGATTGGTGAAATGTCCTAGCTGTCCAATATGGTAGTCACTAGTCAATCAGATACTGAGATTGAAAAACTGGTTTATTTCATTTTTACAACTTAACTAGCCATATGTATTGTCCAGCACATCTCTAAAAAAATGACAGTTGGATTTTAAGCATTTGTCTCTACCCAGTGCCTCAAACATACTAGGCAAGTACTCTACCACTGAGCCACAACCCCAATTCCCTCCATAATTTTAAGCTCTTCCACCCATCTGAGCTGAAATATATAACAAAAAGGACTATATACATTACTTGTCTTGGTGTGCACAAAGTTGTCAGATGTCTGAGGTCCTGATGAAGACAGGTTTCTCATTCTCATACAGGTTAAAGTATCTAGGATTCAAAGGTAAAGGATGACATGTTTTCCTTTAAGACTATCCCTTGGGTGCTGAGGCCCTGCACATGTTAGGCAAGTGCTCTAGCACTGAGCTAACATTCCCAGCCCCAGGGTACTTTTCTAACTAAAAAAAGTTGTTTGCACCCAGACTAGGACCAACTCCACAAGAGGAGTCATTCCACTCTCAGAGGTGCAGAACACTGCCTGAAGGTAACTTAGCTACAACACCAAAACAGTGCTTGGAGCCAAACCTCAATAAAGACAGTGCTTGCTCTTCCAACAGTGTAACACAATCACAGGCACCACACTAGCCTGGATAGCTGACAACCGCTGGATTGTTTCTGAAACAAATTTTTCATCCTTACAGCCTCTACCTTCATAGAAGACAGAGTTACAGTATCAGTAGTAGCTGGAAGGAGGAAAGGAAGCACTTTCCATGCTTAAAAAAAAAAAAAAAAAAAAATTCAATTTTTTTAGTTGTAGCTGGACACAATGCCTTTATTTATTTTTATGTGGTGCTGAGGATTGAACCCAGAGCCTCGCACATGCCAGGCAATGGCTCTACCTCTGAGCTATAACCCCAGCCTGCTTTGGGGTATTTTATCCAACATTCAAGGAGTTCCTGCCATGTGCTAGGGGCTGAAATTGGGATCTAGCAGTGAACGAGGATACACTACCCTTTCCCTCAAAAAATTTACAATCTCCCTGTAAATACTCCAGATGGAATGACACAGCAAATCTGCAAGGTCCTACATATTTTCACCCAAACCACCAAAATCCTACTTTAATTGCTTGGAGACTGAATTTATTGGGGGCAAACAGTGAATTTCATCCCAATTATTTCTCTTTCTTTCTGTACTGGAGATTGAACCCAGGGGCAATTGACCACTGAGTTATATCCGCAGCCCTTTTTATTTTTAATTTGAGACAGGGTCTCAGTAAGTTGCTTAGGGACTTGCTAAATCACTGAGGCTAGCCTCAAACTCACAATCCTCTTGCCTCAGCCTTTGGAGACTGAGATTATAGGTATGTGCCACCATGCCTGGCACAGAGGAGGTCAACAACTCTAGAATGAACAGGGATATTTATCTGAAAACTCCACATGTACACTGTCCACCCATCACTATTTCCTCTCTTCTGGAGGGTGAAGAATATCACAATTTCAAGTCATCCTAAAAAGGCAGGCAAGTAAGATTTAATGATCTATTATACGTAACAGTGACTATAATAACAATGCCTTATACATTTCAAAATTGCTAATATGAGAAATTCACTCACCTGCCACCCAATGCCAAAGAATGGACTCAGAGACAGGAGGTACAAAAGTGAGGCTCTAATGGCAGTCTTGCAAGATCCAGTGTCTGGTGACCATGCATCCCTGGAACAGTTACATCGAGCATTTTATTCCCTAAAATGTAGTTTCCCTCCCCTGGTTCCTCACAGTACTATGGGGTTATAATCTTCCTGAAAGTTGCCTGAGTTTCCTTATAGGTTTCTCCCTTTTTGGTTGTTTCCCAAACCAATCAAATTTAGGCGTATGGGCTGGGGTTGTGGCTCAGCGGTACATCGCTCGCCTAGCATGTGTGAGACCCTGGGTTCAACCCTCAGCACTACATATAAATAAAATAAATTTATATATATAAAAAACTTAGGTGTATATATTTGAAAAAGAGCATGTGTGGGCTAACTTTGGGCCAATCTAGGTGTACACTCAAGCCTGCACTAAGGTGGGAAGTGCAGGGTGAGGGTAAGGGAGTTTATTCCTGATGTTCTGTTGGTGCCAAGGATATACTGACAGCTTGCTGGTGATTTTGTGCGTTGAGGTGGTCATATCATCAAGCTGCTGTGCAAACTGATTATCAATGATCCTCCACTCCAAGCTAAGCCTCTTTCATCCTCTTACTTTGTACAAACCAACAATACTGCCTGCCATTTATGATTTATCATGGTGTCTATACCTTAAGAATTATTTTTATCTCCCATTATTTGCTTTTCCTGCCTATGAGTGCCATAAAGCTAACCATCCCCCATGTCTCTAGTCTTAAGATCCCATATGTAAAAGGCTATTCATGATAAACATTTGAGGCAGTCACACAAATCCTGAGCATTTAGTTGGAGAATCCTTTAAGGGAAAGCCAACTGATGGAACAAAACAAGCTTTGATAACTTAGCTTCCCTCTCCCAAACACCCTCACCAGTTCCTCATGTGGAAATTAGGCTATTACTTTTCAAAGAAGCAGTAACTAAATCAGCTCTATTGGACAATCCCAGAATCACCCTATGTGATGTTTGCCTAGGAGAGGCATCTCTTCTGAGAAAACACTTTGAAGGGATTCAATACTTAACTACTCTATAAGGGACAACAACTCTATAACTCTATAATAATTACTACTAGTTCCCAGAGCCCCTCATTTTTTTTTTTTTTGAGATGGGATCTCACTAGTTTCCTCAGACTGGCCTGAACTCACTATCTTTCTGCCTGAACCTAAGTAGCTGAATTACTGGTGTCATGCCTGGCAATATTTTCATGCATGGGTTTTTGCTTTGATTTCAGTGAAATCAGTAAAATTTCCATTGACTTCTGTCCTGCATCACTTGCTTAGGTACAAGGTTACAGTCTACAATGGGTCCAAAGGACTATTGTGTTATACTCACCTGGGGCCACAGGCACTAAAAAATTAAATGTGACTCCCCCCTCTATTTACATATCCCTCCCTGGCTTGATTACTTGCATTTTATTTCCAAAGTATGAGTCAAACAACTTAATACTAGCCAAACCTGTTAGACCAGTACCTACATAGGAAGGTCTGGATTTCAGGTTTCTCCCTGCAAAAAATCATGCTTACAGATTTAACCTTGATGTATAAACAATTATGCTGACATCCTGGTATAGTTAACAGTACATGGTCAGTATGAACCGAGACCAGAATGCCAACCAGCTATTGGCTGCTGTTCTCCCAGCAGTGTAACACTTGCCTAGATACAAGGCAACCTAGGCAGCTGCCTACAGCTGGGGCCAAAGGAGGACAATGGTATTATTCTTACCTGGGGTCATATCTGCCTTAAGTCCATAGCTGGCCACTCTGCAATCAAAACAAACCAAGTTATAGTCAGCCTACAGTTAGTGAACACGTGTGCAGATTAGAGGCCCTGTAACTTAAGAGGCCAGAGCAAAAGAAACAATGGTGGACAATAAAACAGCCTATCCCTGGTTAGCTTTGTTTTCACATTATTTAAAATTATTATTTTGTGTGTGCAACTGGAATGCTCTACCACTGAGTTACATCCCCAGCCCTTTCATTTTTACACAGGATCTAAGTTGCTGAAGCTGACTTCAAACTTGGAATCTTCCTTCTTCAGCTTCCAGTGCTGTTGGGATTACAGGTGTATGCCACTATGCCTGGCTCAAATCATATTTACTAATGTACCACAGCAGTTCAACAGCAACCAAAATAATGGCCCAGTCAACAATTATCGAGAGCATGGCTCTTCCACCTAATGCCAAACCACACTGGGCAAGTAACTTTGAACATCAGTCTCCTCATTTGGAGAATGGGGATATTATTAACAGTGCTCTGCACATAGATTTAAATGGAATATAGGTTAAACCCACAGGATATGTAGAAGTTACCTTCCAGGAAGAGATCTAGGATCGGGCTGGGGATGTAGCTCAAGTGGTAGCGCGCTCGCCTGGCATGCGTGCGGCCCAGATTCGATCCTCAGCACCACATACAAAGATGTTGTGTCTGCCAAAAACTAAAAATAAATATTAAAAGATCTAGGATTGTTAGAGATCTGGGGCCTCTGAGAAACTGAGGTAGTGCAAAGACCACCCCACTTCAAGTCAGAGAGATTTCAGATATATTGCTCAGCAATAGGAGTGAGTTTATTGAAAGGACAGGGAAAGGGGACACCCTCAAGGGAGAGTGGATTCACTCAGAGAGGGACAGTGCGCCTCTCCTACACTCCAGTTTTATTGGGGATCTCAGAGAATCCTGCCCAGGTTCACCTCTTGACTTTTATTTTTATTTATTTATTTTTTTAAAGGGGGGGGGAGGGTTAATTTTTTTTTTTTTAGTTTTCAGTGGACACAACATCTTTCTTTGTATGTGGTGCTGAGGATCGAACCCGGCGGCATGCATGCCATGCGAGCTACCACTTGAGCCACATCCCCAGCCCACTTCTTGACTTTTTTCAGTGGTTCAAAGTCTGATGTCAGCAATATTACATCAGACTTTCAACCACTGACTCACATTCCCAGCCCCATTTTGTATTTTATTTAGAGACAGGATCTCTGAGTTGCTTAGCGCCTCGCCATTGCTGAGGCTGTCTTTGAACTCCCCATCCTCCTGAGGAGCTGGGATTACAGTTGTGCACCACCATGCCTGGCCAGTTGACTCATCTTATAGTTATTCCCTAACCTCATGTTCCTACCATTCACAAATGTTTGTACCCTAACATTATGAGTAAGGGAAGGTTGTCCAGGAAGAATGGGCGGTGAAAACTAGAAAGGCTGGCTAGGTACAATGGTGCTGCCCAGGCCTGTAATTAATCCCAGAGACTGACTGGTGGGGAGGCTGAGGCAAAAGTATCCCAAGTTCAAGGCAGCTCAGCAATTTAGTGAGAATCTTTCTCAATAAATAAAAATAAATTGGAAAGCTGGGGATGTGGCTCTGTGGTTAAGGATCCCTGGGTTCAATCCCAGTTGCCTAGTACCACATAAAATAGATGTTTGCAAAGACGTTAACAAATATTTCTACACGCTCGCCATTATAATTTGTTTTTATAAAGTGAGTTTATCTAAGTCCATACCTTTTTCCCAGCCATTCTCAATTTCACATCTAACCTCCTCGGGAGAAACAGGAATGCATGGAAAACTCAATGTTGGGGTCTGAAAAGGAACCTAGGTGGGGGCAGTGGCGGAAGCCAGTCATGGGGGAAGTGGGGGGGGGTACACAGAAAGACTACAAATTCGAGGCCAGCCTCAGCAACTTAGCAAGGCCCTAAGCAACTGTCTCAAATTAAAAAAAAAATTAAAAGGTCTGGGGATGTAGCTCATTGGTAAAGCGCCGCGGCTTCAATCCCCAATACCAAACCAAACCAAACCCACGAATCTCAAACTAGACTGCCTCTTTCGGGGCCTCTGATTGCAGAGGCTGCCCCAGTTCCACCCGACACGTGCTCCTCACGATCTTCCCAAGCTCTCTGCCCATGGCGGCGCCGGGAGAGCGAGGCTTCTAGGGTCAGGCTCCTGGCGACTCTCCAGTGAGATCCGCAGAACATAGCGGGCGGTTCTGAGGCTACGATTTCCCAGCGTCTTTTCAAAAAAGCCCTCCAAGCCTGGGATCACCAGGGAACAAACCCCAATTCTGTCTCGTGCCCTGGCAGAAGCCTCCCCACACTCCATCTCGCCTCAGGCGAGTGAACCCCCCCAGACTGCTGCTCACCCGGCCTTCACTCACCCGCACGTGTTCGGAGCTCCGCAGCGGGTGCTACTCCGGGCAGAGGCCGCAGGGAAAAGGGCAGCCGAGGGCTGAAGGGAGCCCCGCCCCGGAGCGGCTGCAGGGCGGGACGTCGGGGCGGGGCTTGAAGTCCCGCCCAGGAAAGGCCGATTTAAAAAAAAAAACAAAAAAAAACCGCGAGGGTGGTGGTGCAGGTGAGGCCCGGCGGGAGAAAGGACTGAGATCCTAATCGTGGCTACGTTTGTTGGACTCCCAACCCATGTCTTACTTATGGGTAGAAGGGGAGCTGGGTTAGGAGCTGCTAAAGAGGGTACCTACGTCTTAGTGGGACCAGGCTGGCTGCCTGCCCGCATCCAATGCGCTAGGGATGCTGATTTCTCTCCCGTGCCTGGCACATTTTGGTTGCTGCCGGTGTAGCTCGCGCTTTTGCACCTTCTACAAAGATCCTCTTACTGACTTGCTGCAGCAGGGCTGTCACTCGGTTAATAGATCTCCCACCCACACAGGTCACCTTGGTCTGGTCTTCGGGATCTCTCCAGGTTTTCCAATACATAGGCCCTTCATTCCTGTAGGCTAACCCTGCAAGCCACATCCCTAGTGCCCTGCAATAGGATCCTTAGCTGGGCTGCTGAAGAACACTGGCTTTCTCTGCCAGGCTTGCTCTGCTTGCGTGACAAAATCAGCCACAGATGTCATGTCCTTGATCTGGACAGCCTGCCGCCATACCAGGATTTCTTTTGAATACCAAATTTCCTTTCTCCCTTGGAGTCATTATGACTCCAAGTGGTGAGTGATGCTGGGGTCCAGAGGGACAAGGCCCACCAGCAGTAATACCTGAATTCTAGAGCTGCTCTCTTCTTTCTTTCTTTCTTTCTTTCTTTCTTTCTTTCTTTCTTTCTTTCTTTCTTTCTTTCTTTCTTTCTAATATATAGTTCTAGTTGTTGATGGACATTTATTTTATTTATTTATTCATATGTGGTGCTGAGAATTGAACCCCGTGCCTCACACATGCTAGGCAAGCCCAGTACTTCTGAGTTACAACCTCAGCCCTAGAGCTGCTCCCTTTCTGATCCCCTTCTCCTTCCACTTCAAAAGCATCCTCTACTGAGCTATTGCACCTGGCACGATTGTGACGCTAGTCCCTGGAAATCAGCCACTGGCCTTGGCATCTGCCAACATGTTTTACTATTTCCTCAGTTCTTACATAATGGAATAAAAGAAGTGCTTTCTATACACCCAACACTTGCAGACATCTACTGAAAAAGCTCAGAACCCCAAATTGATTTCAACAAGAGACTGTAGGCTACGGGGCTAAAGAACCATAGAGAAATGGACAAGTGGCAAGCATAAATCCTCCTCAATTTTGATGGAGTTGGACACAGACTAGTTAGGAAAAGGTTTACATAAATCCAGTAATTTAAAAAGTCACATGACCAGTGTTGTGCTGGTAGGCAGGAGCTCTGCTTTGCGCTTAAAGAGGAATGTGGCTGAAGACTGCTGCCATAATCAGTGCTGCCACATCCAACTGTCACAGTGTGTTCATAAAGGAGGATTATGGGAGCTATAAAACCAAGCAGATTGGGTGGGTAATTGTCCTGTGGAGCTCTGCTAAAGGAGAAATTGAATTGGCATCTCATATATTTTACTATCTTTCCTTCTAAACACACAAAGTGGAGAACACAGAGTTACCCTGAGGATTCATGAAAAGGAAAGATGAAAGATGTGTGTGTGTGTGTGTGTGTGTGTGTGTGTGTGTGTGTGAGAGAGAGAGAGAGAGAGAGAGAGAGAGAGAGAGAGAGAGAGAGAACATGCACATGTGTGATTTCAGAAAGGAGACAGGAAGTAATTGAACAGTGGAGATCTGAAGGCCCTTGGGGAAGAAGGGACCAACAACATGGTAATGATTGGACTCAGATTAGTCCAGGTACAAGGTAGGGCTTATGTGGAAGAAAGGCCAGATATTATGAGTAAGGCTGTGAGGCAAGCCACATTGAAAATGTGGTCACCTTTTTTAGGTCTAGGAAATTCAGTGTCCTGTGGAGGAAAACCTTGATTTTGATTTCTTCTTTTCTTAATTAAAAAATCCTTCAAACTCAACCTTCTTGACCTCCCTCCTTTTAAATTCCAAATTCACAGTGGTGGCTTGATTTATGCATTCTTTTATCTGTGATGTCACATTTTTCTGTACTTTTGTTTCCTATACCTGCAAAGATAAAATTGTTAGGAATAATAACAAAAAATAAGGGGGGGGGATTTCTAGAAAAACAGTGTGTCAGATGGAAGGCAAAAAATGAGGGCAAGTCCATTTGCTCTGAGTTTGACCTCATAACTAAAAGTAGCCCCAAATGATACCAGATACCCAAGTTTCTCATCTATCTTATTTCTCTTCCACCTATCCTCTTCTTTTTGCTTTCTTTTTTTTTTTAAAGAGAGAGTGAGAGAGGAGCGAGAGAGAGAGAGAGAATTTTTAATATTTATTTTTTAGTTCTCGGCGGACACAACATCTTTGTTGGTATGTGGTGCTGAGGATCGAACCCGGGCCGCAGGCATACCAGGCGAGCGTGCTACCGCTTGAGCCACATCCCCAGCCCCTTTTTTTTTGCTTTCTTCCTTGAAAACTTTTGCTCTTAGGACTGATTTTTTTCCTTTCCTTCTTGAACAGGAAACACCAGTAGAGTACTATTTAAAATGTGTTCCATCAGTCAATCAGCACTTACTGAGCATCTAGCATGTGTCAGATCCTATTCAGATGTTTCAGATAAAGTCATAGCAATAGGGATTCCTTTTCACCTAAAGCTTGTAGTCTAGTGGGGAAGAATGACAAAGACTATGGGCATCCTTGGGCATGGATCAGGGGCAGCTTACTTGGTCTGGGGTCAGGGAAAATTCTAGAGATCACTGATCATAATGGCTTAGAGTAAAGGGGTACTACTCCTTTATCCCTGTGCTCTTTTTATTGACATGTAATAGCAATCCAAGTTAGATAGGGCTCTGCAGTTGCTCTTGTTATTTCTCAAAAGCTTCATTAGAGCTGGGCTGGATAGGACTATAATCCCAGATACTCAGAAGGCTGAGTCTGGTTGAATGCAAGTTCAATGCCAGCCTGGGCAATTTAGCAAGACCCTGTATCAAAATAAAAAATAAAAAGAGCAGGGGATAAGATGGTAGAGCACTCTAGGGTTCAATCCCCAATACCAGGTGTGGGAGAGAATATCGTTAGATTGGCAAGGATATGGAGAAATCAGAGTCTTCATATGCTGCTGGTAAGAAAGTAAAGTAGTACTGCTGCTCTGGGAGGGAGGAAGGAAGGAAAGGAGTAAGGAAGGAAGGAAGGAAGATAACAGTTCCTCAAATAATTAACCATATAATTACTTTTTGACCCAATGATACCATTCCTAGGTATATACTCAAAAGAAAAGAAAAGAAGTCCACATAAAAATCTCTACATGAGGGCTGGGGATGTGGCTCAAGCAGTAGTGTGCATACCTGGCATGCATGCGGCCCCGTTCGATCCTCAGCACCACATACAAACAAAGATGTTGTGTCCGCCGAAAATTTAAAAATAAATATTAAAAAAATTCTCTCTCTCTCTCTCTCTCTTTTTTTATCCATTTACCTGCAAATGCCATGATTTTATTCTCTTTTATTGCTGAGTAAAATTCCATTGTGTATATATGCTACATTTTTTTTATTGGTTGTTCACAACATTACAAAGCTCTTGACATATCATATTTCATACATTAGATTCAAGTGGGTTATGAACTCCCAATTTTACCCCAAATGCAGATTGCGTCGGTTACACATCCACAATTTTACATAATGCCCAATTAGTA